GAAAAGTAATTATTGTAATAACAAAATACAGGGCTGTCAAGAGAAGGGAGATTTGCAATAATAAGATTATGGAAAACTTCTATTACACACTTTGTATTTCTGGGATATTCCTGAATGAATGCCATCTGCTTGGTGATCATAAGGAATGTAATCATATTGAATCTTTCCATTTTTGAGCAAAGCTAGGTTGAGATTACCAAGAAAAGGCTGTATTTTGGTATAATTCAGTGCATTTGCCCTTAAATACATCTGAGCGTTCCTCACAGCCTGGAATGATGTGTTTTTACCTAAGGGGCCTATTTATTTCCACCCGTAAACTACATATAAAAATATATTTATACTCTCTTCCAAATCACTGGAGAGAAATTAGCAATTTCTTCTCTAGAATTCAAAAGCCTGGCTGTTAGACCAGAGTGAAAAAGTACACAGCAGCACCATGTGTGAAAAGTAAACTTTTAACTGAAATGTGCAAGTCTGAAGTAAGAGAAAAAAAAAATCCAGCAAAGGCTTAGCCATTTGAGGGAAACAGAGGGAAATGCTTATGGAAAAGAACATTTTTTAATGTGTAGGTTGTAGTCCGGGAGTTTGTAAGGTTTTTATTTTAAGACAAAGAAATAATTGCCCATGAAGACAGAGGAAACACGGGTGAACAATGGAATCAGACACAACAGAAACTATTCCAAGGGCAACAAAGCAGCTTTCGCTCTGAGTGAAAGGCACCAGGGAGCTTCTTAAATGTTTTTGTGTTAAGGGAAGACGCTGCGTGGGCAGTAAACAGGGACGTTTGTCCCAACGCCCTCCTCTCCCCCTGACACCTTCTGACTGCACTTCCCAGGGTTTCTATTCCCCAGTGGCCTTTCTGCCTCTGAATGGGAATTGCTGTAGATTACTTGAAAACACTATCAGTGTAATTTTTTTTTTTCCAGGACTAAAGTCTTTAAACAACTGTGAGACTGGCTAATGCATGTGAAAATAAGATACCACTACAGCATGATCTGCAGCCACGTGGGCAAGCAGCTGCTGTAGAAGCACACCCAGCATGAGGAGAAGGGCTCTGTCCCAGCAGGGCCAGGCTGCTCCTGACACCCGACTCAGGGCTGCTGCTCTCTGGCACAACCTGGACACGAGCAGGTAAAATGTTTATTTCAATGCCACAGCCCAGCTGTCCATAGTTTCAGTGCTTACTTTTTAGATTGCTTCCATGATATGCTATTTTAAATCCTGAATCCTATTTATTCTGTTTGAAATCCTGCAAAAAGTGAAGTACACTGCGTGCTGGTTTCCTTTAACAGGATATAATGCCAACCAAGCCCTGGAGTGCCTTCCATGCAGGAATTATGTGTGAGCTGTAATGTTTAAAACAGTCAGACTCGGTGAGACTAAGTGTGTCTGCATTGTATTTTCTTCAGCTATCTTGGGTGAGGATTAATGAATGAATGGTCATAAAGTGCTCTAAAATCCTGCGAAAGCAGACTAAGAGCACACACACTTAACTACTGTGAGCAGAGGATAATGGTTAAAGCTTACCTGGAATTCCACTCCAGCTACAGATGCATGAGTCATTGTCACAGAAAATGTAACAGTTTCAATTAAGAAACAGAAAAACATTAGAGAAGTTAAAGCAAATACTTGATGACTGACAAGGAAAAGTATCTTTGTGGTGAATGAGCTGAGAAAAACTGTTTGCCCAGACTAACCCTCAGAATTTTTCTGCAAATATGGCTTATTTTCCACGGGGCTTTACAAAAACAAAACCCCTCCACAACATCAGCCAGCCATAAAAATGGTAAATATAAATAATTGTATCTACATACTGAGCTCTGCAACTGTATTTACAAAACTAATTATTCACAAGTCTTTTGCAGACATAAAACATTTTCAAGCAGGTCTATGTGCTAAACCAGAGTAGCAAAGACCCTTAACTTTTTTTTTCTCTACATTAAAAAAATCCCACTTTTCCACGAGTATTGTTTTCACTGCCTGCACACTTGAACTTGTTCCAGACTTGCCTGCCTCATAAACAGATGATTTCCAGACCTGCCCACTGCAAACGCACACACCTGTGTATTGAAGTGTACATTTCCCACTCAGGGAGCTGCAAACACACCTTGCTCCCACACAGCTTGAGATCTGAGCACACGTGTGTGTATATTTATAGTAAGTACATGCTTGTTTGGGCAGAACAAAAGTGATACAAAACAAAGTGTCTGGAAAATATTAAGGGAAAAAAGAACTTTTCTCCACAAAGGGCAAAAAGAACTTTTCTCCACAAAAAGTGATGTATTTTATAACAAACATAGCAGTGAAATGGTACAAAATCTTCCTTTGACGTTTACCTCTATGATCCAGATGTTTCCTAGTCTGCCAGCATTTAGGATTTACTTTCTAACACTAAGTTAGAAAAGAAAAAATGGCCAGGAATCTATGAAGTTTAGAAATTTGCCGTAATTTCTGATGTCAAGAGAACTGTTGATACTTTTTTGGGATGTCTTTGGCATTCCTTCCCCTTGATCTCACAACATTCTAAGGAGGCAAACCACGCGGCAGCTAGGATCGAGATGGGAATACCAGGTGCTAATTAACAGCCTGGAAACAATTAGAAGACGCCAATCAGTACCGAAACACACCGCCATCAATTTCGCTGCCCGTGGGGCAGTGGCCAACTTCACCAGAATCCCGGCACATTATTCTGAGTTGGGGGAGACCCACAGGGCTCACGGAGTCCAGCCGCACACGAGGATCGAACCCAGGGCCGGTGCCAGCTCCGCCCGGGGCACGGCCCGGCCCGGCCCGGGCAGTCCGCCCGGGGCACGGCCCGGCCCGGGCACACCGAGCCTGCGCCGCCTCCCGCCGGGCCGGGACGCGCTCCCCGCTCTGCCGCGCAGGGCCTCGGCCGGGAAACGCGCTTTCGGCTTCTCCCCTGGGGCTGAGGGAGGTGCCGGACCCTGCTGGAAGAACGGGCGGGCCCTCGCTTCCCACCGGCGCGGGGACGCGGCCGCCTCGCTCCCCGCCAGCCCCCGGGCCGGGCGGGGCGGCCTCTCCCCCCGGGCCGGGGGCACGGCCGGCCCGGCGACACGCCACAGCGTTTGCCTTCAGCGCGGCTCTAGGAGCGCACGGACACAAACCCTGCGAGAGGCCGTGACAGGGCCCCGGCCATGGCCGGGACCGGAGTCACTCAGGCCGGGGCCGGGCTCCCTCAGGGCCCCTGCTGGGCTCCCTCAGACCGTGACCGGGGCCGCATTCCCTCCCGGGGCCGGACTCCCTCAGACCGTGACCGGAGCCGGGCTCCCTCCCGGGGCCGGACTCCCTCAGGCCCGTGCCGCGCTCCCTCGGGCCGGGGCTGGAGCGGAGCCCGCGGGGCGCGGCGGGGCCGCCCGGGCAGCGCCGGGCACGGGCTCGCGTTCCGCGGCAGTTCCCGCGGTGGCGAGTTCCAAACCGGGGCTCTGGCAGGCAGGAGAGGCGCAGCTCGGTAACGGGGCCGTGCAGAGCGTCCTCAGAAAGCACGAGCGCGCGTGACTGCAGAACCGCCGGGTGGAAGGAGTTGGATTATCGATGGGAATCGCAGCTGTCGGTTCAGTTCCAAAGACAGTGTTTTGACACCCTGCCTCGCAGTGTTTGGGGTTGTGTCACGTTAAAATACACGTCTGTGTTGTTACAGTCTGTTAAGGAAGTCAGAGTGTATTTGTCTTCTAAGATGTGTATTAAAAATAGAGATTCTGAAATAAATGTGGAAAAGTGATGCTGTCAGTTATGACGAGAGATGGGATTGAGCTGCCTAGTGTCAGAAGCGTGGTGTTCCAGCCTGTGAGTTAGCACCTTCTCCTGCAGACTGTGAGCGTGACCCGTGCAGGAGCCGCCTCTCCACTGCTCAGGAATGAGCGCCTGGAGTGCGTGCCACTGTCCTGGCTCCGGGGTCATTGGAGTCCAGACTGGATCCTGTCAGGGTATTCCTACTGAAGTCTGAGAGAACAGAGGCCACCTATTGCTCTTCACATTGGGACTGATTTTGCGTTTGACAAGACAGCTTTGTGAATTTGTGCAATACAATTATTCTGACTAATGATCAGAATCACCACAGTCGCACCTCAAGAAAGGAGCAGAGAGAAGCACTTTGTATTTTTTGCTACCAAGTTAAAAAAGAAATACTGATTTAATTGACAAAGCAGTTTTTGGGTTTTGTTGGTTTTTGGTTTTGTTTTTTTTTTCAAAGCAAACATTTGGGAATTTAATGTCTTTATTTTTATTTTTTGTATGTGTGAAAGCAAATGAGCGCCCTCATTGCTTCATTGGTCCCTGAGGAGTACTGTGAGACAGTAAGAAACATCTTTCTGCCTGAGAAGACACCTCTTGAGTTACCAGCTATTATGCTGTAGTGGGTGGCCAGTTGGTTTCCTGGGTGGCCAGTTGGTGGCCCAAGGAGAGAACCAGGCAGTTCTAACTGGCCACTGGAAACAGTACCATGTGTTGGGTGGAACCAGCCTGGGGCTGTGGCTGAGCTGAAGCTCATGAGCAGCTTTATGGGAACAAGATGCTGGGAAGCTGGGCTGGCTCTCGCAGGAGTTGTGTCCTGCTGGGCTGGGGCTGCCAGGCAGTCACAATCCAACCTGTGCAGGGGCTGGAGCAGCTGAGGTGCACAGGCTCTGAGAGATTGGAGCCCCGCGTGCCTCCCCTTCATGGCCTCCCAGTGGCCGTGTCCTTCAGCTCAGCCTTCTGGGTCCCTCTGTATGTCCCACGCCTGCTGCCTTTAAATCTCCTTGCAGTCCCTGCTGAAGGATGCCCACGGCACCTGCTGCTACCTGGGACAGCCTTCCACAGTTGGTGATAGGCATCCAGCCTGCAAATCACCAGGGGAAAAACGAGTTCCAAGCCTCGGTTGTTGGCACTCTGCAGCTCTGTGATGCAGCTGAGTTAGTGCTGCTTGCTCTGCATGCTCTTTGGAGCAGGACAGGAATCCAGTGTCACCTGTCCCAGTTAAGGGCTGCTCACTTAGTGCTGCTTGCTCTGCATGCTCTTTGGAGCAGGACAGGAATCCAGTGTCACCTGTCCCAGTTAAGGGCTCTGATCATCAGGCCAGATAAGAGCACGTCTCACTCAAGAAACAGTAATTTAATAAAAAATCAGTTCCAGTGGGAAGGAACTGAGGGAGGTCTGTTCTACAGGCAGGGCTGGAATTCTTGCTTGAGAGGTGTGACACTGGTTATCTTCTCTGCTTATATCCATGTAGTGCCCAACTAAAATACTCCATTAATATTAGGTTTAATGGGACAAATAATTATTTTGTTGAATCATAGGGAAATCTGATAGAGATAGGAAAGAAGTGTTAAAGCAGTATTAAAGTTTTGATAGCATAGAGAGAAGTAGCACATGGAACCTGGTGATGTGAAGAAACTCGTTACATTTCAGATGGGGTTCCTTTGGGGCAGGAGCCACCTCTTCCTCTATGGTAGCTCATGGAGCATAAAAACCAGATTGTGAAAATGGTGTGGGTTACATAACTGGCCTGTCCAGGTGAACTTTGCAAGCACTGAAATGTGTTGAAGCAGAGGAGACAGCAGGGTACTGTGATTTGGAAAAGGTGTCAAAAATCTACTTGTCACAGACAACCTAAGATAACTATATATGCTTTGTTTAGGGCTGCAGACATCCTCTATTTTAAAATAAAGTTCAGGTGAACTTTGTAAGCACTGAAATGTGTTGAAGCAGAGGGGACAGCAGAGTATTCTGTTTGATTTAGAAAAGGTGTCAAAAATCTACTTGTCACAGACAACCTAAGGATAACTATATATGCTTTGTTTAGGGCTGCAGACATCCTCTATTTTAAAATAAAGTGCAGACAAGGCCAGTGTATGCTCTAAGAGGAGCATGCACTTACACCTCGACTAAAAATGTCTAAAATGTGCAATTACATGTGCACAGCTACTACAACTGGCCCTGCCAGTCTGGGGCACAGGAAGCCCGTGTTAGCTGGGTGTTCAGTGTAGCTGCCCAACCTGACTGCTTGTAGGTCAGGATCTGAGACTGAAACATGGTATGCAAAAGTTGCTTTAGGAGTTGCAGTTGGGAAAATACTAACACAAAGGTGTTAGACACCATGTATCTAGATTCAGCTCCACAGATGTCAAGAAGTGTGGATGGTCTCATTCTGCCCTGAAATAGGAAAATAAAAAGATTTCTTGATAGGAAGGGTGTGGGTGTACTCATACATCTTCACAAGTGGGAAGACCTCTTGGTGACAGAGAATGTTAATTTTGAGTAACATTCAAGCCAAATTTAGTGGGCTTTTCCATGAATGTTATTGAACCACACTCTGCAGCTGCATCTCATTGTGGCTTTTTCATCATGGAAGAAAATATGCAGTTGATCTGCACAGTTGGATTTTAATATTTTAATGATAGCCCTTCAAAAGGAAAACAGCAACTCAGGCTGCTGAGAAAAAAACACAATCAGGAACAGTACACATGAACGTGTGAGTTTAGAAGGGCCACTGACACACAGGAGCTCACTACAGACCTCTCACAGATCCCTCCACTCCTCAGCCATCTGCTGTGGTGGAGGTGAGAGGTGTTCCTGGGCTGGACTCTGCCCAGTGCTGCTGCAGCTGCTTGCTTTTCCCAGCCCTCTGGAGGATGTGTCACACTGGTGGTGTGATTCTGCATGTCTGTGTGGCAGTGCTGGGCTGCACTGCTGCCACACAGTCTCACCTTGCAGTAGGATTGTTTAGTGCCAGTTAAATGCTTTTCTTCAGCGTGACAATCCACACTGCTCTGACTGATCACTGAGTATTTTTCACTGGAGCCATAGGCAGGTGTTTCAGGAGTTTAGGACCATCCTGTTGTCCTTCCCCTCTTCTCTCCCAGCCATATAGGAAGTCATCCTGTGAGATGAGAAGAGAAGGGGACCAGCTGTTAGCCTTGCCAGGGCCATGGCCAGCAGCTGTGGTGGAATCCTCCTTGTGCCACCAGTAGGGCCAGGAGCAGGCTGACCTCAGCAGCGGGAGCACGTCAGTCAGGTGAGAGGATGTCTTGCTCATCAGGACACTTTGTGTGCTGGGCAGCAGAGTGGACAATGACCAGTGCACCAGCCATGCAGGTGACCTTATTTCTGGATGAGTCAGCTGTGGTTGCTGTTTTTAATGGGTGGCAGTCCTCTGTTGTAGAGTAGTGATCTACACTGCCATCAGCCTGTGCTCCTGTCCCACCTGCTTGATTCATATTGTCACACATTGCTTGTCGTAGAATGTCACCCAGACCTTTGCAATGCCTTTTTCCATGGACTTATTTTTCCACTCAGTACCAGTAGATGTTAGGACAGCTATCAGTTTGAACGTCATCTTCAAAACAAGTGCTGTAAGGTGGTTGAGAAAAGGTGGACAGGCTGAGCACCCTTGCTCCAGAGAGGAGATCAGGGAGGAATTTGTCTGCGGATACACCCAGAGATGTGGTCCGAAGAGGACAAGGATCAAATACCCCTGTTGGTCAAGAGTCAGGCTGTTAATAGGTTTAAGCCACAGAAGGAAAGCTCCAGTCTGAAAACTAAGAAAACTGTATAACTGGAGGAAAAGTTAGACAGTGGAACATGTTGCCAAGACAGAGGTTGTGAAACTGGAGATATTTGAGGCTAGGCTAGACACCCATCCATCAGGGATGGCTTTGGAATAACTGAGTGAAGCCAGTGAACAATTCAAACAGCTTGACTAGATGACCCAGTAATAGTCCCATCCAATCCAAATATGTTTGAGACTTCAGAAATGTAGTTGGGTATTGTCACACATTGCTTGTGGTAGAATGTCACCCAGACGTGGCCTTTGCAATGCCTTTTTCCATGGACTTATTTTTCCACTCAGTACCAGTAGATGTTAGGACAGCTATCAGTTTGAACGTCATCTTCAAAACAAGTGCTGTAAGATGGTTGAGAAAAGGTGGACAGGCTGAGCACCCTTGCTCCAGAGAGGAGATCAGGGAGGAATTTGTCTGCGGATGCACCCAGAGATGTGGTCCGAAGAGGACAAGGATCAAATACCCCTGTTGGTCAAGAGTCAGGCTGTTAATAGGTTTAAGCCACAGAAGGAAAGCTCCAGTCTGAAAACTAAGAAAACTGTATAACTGGAGGAAAAGTTAGACAGTGGAACATGTTGCCAAGACAGAGGTTGTGAAACTGGAGATATTTGAGGCTAGGCTAGACACCCATCCATCAGGGATGGCATTGGAATAACTGAGTGAAGCCAGTGAACAATTCAAACAGCTTGACTAGATGACCCAGTAATAGTCCCATCCAATCCAAATATGTTTGAGACTTCAGAAATGTAGTTGGCAGCTTGTCCACTTCCAGCACAGTTACGATGTGTTACTGCCAGATGTACCATCAGTACTTTGTGCTAAAGCCAGTGATGTATAAGATTGCAGCTGAAGCCAGCATGTTTAATAGCTTTTTTTTTCCCCTACTAGGTTCACCTTGCTCTTAATCCATGTGAAGATCCGTTGGAAACGCCTCTAGAAACCCAAGAGTTTTCAGTCTCCTGATAAGTTCTGTTGTGTCCAAGAACAGCCTGCCCAAATGAGCAAGACATCCCAACAGAACAGCACCACAGATGCGAGCGGAGTAAGTGTGATTCACACTCAAGCACACTCCAGTGGTTTGCAGCAGGTTCCCCAGCTGGTGCCTGTCAGTCCTGGTGGTGGAGGCAAAGCTGTGCCTCCGAGCAAACAGGGAAAGAAAAGTTCCTTTGTGGATAGGAACAGTGATGAGTATCGTCAGCGCAGAGAGCGGAACAACATGGCAGTGAAAAAGAGCCGCTTAAAAAGCAAGCAGAAAGCACAAGACACACTGCAAAGGGTCAACCAGCTCAAAGAAGAAAATGAACGTTTAGAGGCAAAAATTAAACTCCTGACCAAGGAGCTGAGCGTACTGAAAGACTTGTTCCTTGAGCATGCCCACAATTTTGCAGATAACGTGCAACCTGTTGGCACTGAGACCACCACAACAAATCCAGAAAACAGTGGACAGTAGACACCTGCGACCTTATGAAACAAACTCTGGAGCTGCAGCTTGCCTGCAGTGCCCGTGCAGTAACCCAGCAAAAACTGTACCTTTAGTCATTGTTTTGTGGAGATTTTCTTCTTTTAGATTTAACACTGAAGATTTGTAACAATTAAACCAGAAACTGGTTAACTGTTTGTTTTAAATACTTTTCTCCTCAAAGATTTACGCAGATCTGAACTCCTAGTCAACGAGAAATGTAATATTTAGGAGATAGCATTTTCACAGGAAGATTCACTTACATTTTAGACTTTGCATAATGGGAGGAATCCAGCAGCATGGCTCACTGTAGCATCAGAAACATGTGATTGGATAGAACGTCTTTTAAATACCTGTTAGAGTATTTTAGCCCTTTGTTTTCTCCATTTCATATTACAAACTGCAAAGGCTGTGGAGAATTTTTGCTTTTTATATAAATCTGTAGAATTGAAGTCCTATGAAGCACCACGTAGGTCCCTCCTGCCCAGTTAGTGATTTTGGTGGAAATGAATTCTTAGATCTCTTGTGAGTGCTGGCGATCCTCTTTCTGAAGCTCTCATGGTTGACTTTTCCGCTTGTTGCTCCTGACAGCTCTGATCCCATTTCCTTCATGTTTAAAACCAAACCACTGAGTTTTGTTTGGACAATGAAATTTCTGGTTTATCAGCCTCTGTCTGCACTGATGCTGTGGTTTAAGCCCAACTGGAAAATAAGCCCCATGCAGCCACTCCAGCCCCGCCACCCCCTCAGGTGAGAGAGCCGAAATGCAGACTGGGGCTGAGAGAACAATTTACTGTTACTGGAACCATTTACAATTGAACAGCACAGGCCTTGGGGACAGCAACCCTGCCCCTGGAGACAATGGGACAGTGACCCCTGGCCTTGGGGACAGCAGGACGACAATTCCTGGCCTTGGGGGCACCAGGACAAAGATCCCTGACCTTGGTGACAACAGGGCAAGGATCCCTGGCCTTGGCTGACACTGGAACAAGGATCCCTGGCCTTGCCTGGCACTGGGACAATGATCCTTGTCCTTGGCTGGCAGCAGGACAAGGCTCGGGAGGAGCAATGGCTCTGTGCAGCACCTCACTCATGATTGTAACAAATCCACGTTTTAAACGTGCCCCCAGTGAGAGGCTGCAAGAAAGGGCTCAGGCTTCCAAGCCCCCCCCACCAAAGCAGCTCCAAGGAACAAGGGTCTCCCAAGGGAAGCAGCCCAGGCTGTGTGGCAGCAGAGTACCTCCATCTCACCCTCTGCTGCAGGGCACAGAAAATTTCAGGGTGGACCTATAAAAGTTAAGATTTTCCTTTTGACTCACTGTTCGTAACTCCAGTCTGTGGCAGAATCCAGTGCCTGTCCGTAGACAAGGCGTTACAGCACGTTTCAGCAGAAGCCTGACTGCCATTCTCTCCCTGTCCCCGCGGGCAGGGGTCTGCCCTGGCCCCCAGAGCACGGCGAGGCTGCACTCCCTGCAGAGCCCCTGTAGCTGCAGCTACATACCTACAAAAGTTAAGATTTTCCTTTTGACTCACTATTCTTAACTCCAGTCTGTGGCAGAATCCAGTGCCTGTCCGTAGACAAGGCGTTACACGTCTAATTCACTTTTCGCTTAAGTGGATAAAAATGATGATAATTACAGAACAATCTTCTGGGATGAAGGATGACATTTACGTTCCGTGGGCCCGAGGATGAAGGCCGATGTGCGTCCATCCCTCGCGGCAATGGCAGAGCCGGCCCTGCCCCTCACGGCCGGCCCGGCCCGGCCTGCTCTGCGGCCCCGGCAGGCAGCGGAGGCCTCAGCCCGCCCGGCCCGCTCTGCGGCCCCGGCAGGCAGCGGAGGCCTCCGCGGCCGAAACACTCTGTGCAGTGTGCTATAAAGCAGCAGCAGCAGCGGGTTTAGGGGTGCCCCAAGCACGATCCATCCCCTGGGCGCGCTCAGAGCCTGCCCCAGGGAAACGCCTGGCTGCGGAGGGAACGGGGCTGAGGCCACGAGCGCTGTTTGGCACTGAAAAAACCGGAGTTTTGGGGGCAGATGAGTTCAGAGCAATGCCAGTAAAGTCTCTGTGTTCTCACATCTGCAAGGCTACCAAGCAAAGCCTGATGTCCTTGTGCAGGTGCTGCATTTCAGAGTGGAAGATTGCGGTCACCACAGCAGGAACATCAATACAAGCTTCTGCCCTCACAACTCCCTTCCTGAAAAAACTGTTTCCCTTCACAGCCAAGAAGTCAAGTGCAGCAATTCCTGCACTTGCCTCTTAAAAAGCAATGTCAAGAAACCTCTAAAAAATGTAAATACCATCATTTATTAATTGAGTAACATGAATGAAGTCCTCTGGATTGTTTCACAATGTTTCTTTGGTCTCACACACAGTTTCCCACACAGCAATGGATCACCGGGCTGTTGGGAATAAGGGGCAGGTTCTTGTCCCACAGACCAACCCGCTCAGCAAAAGGAGCTCTCCTGGAGCAATGTTTGTGAGGATTTTTGAGGAAATTATTTCAGGCCCAAATGCAGTGCTGGGGGCAGGAATAGCAAAGATATTCCCTTCTTTCAACTTTTAAGGGTCATGAACACCACAGCAATCTGTGTTTTTAAGGAACACATAGATGAACAAATCTAATGAGCATGGGGATGTGTCTGAAGGATCAGTACAGCCACTATCCAGAGCACAAAACTCTGGCTAGCGAAGCGTCAAAGTTTGCAGAGAACAAATTGGTAGTAGTGTCACATAAAGAAGCAGGAACTGGAGCAGAAAAGTAAAATGACCACAAAGTTGTGAACACAAATGATGCCAAGGTGAATTTTAATAAAAATTTGATTCTGCTTAGTGCATAGATACAGATCCGTAAGAAAAATGTCATTATATCCACTGACAACAACTGATTTCTGTTTTTCACAGTACTTGAGATGAAGTTTAAAAAAGGACTTAAGAGTGTTACAATTGCTCATAGCTTTCAGAAATCCATTTGGTGTTTTAGAGTCCCAATCATCAAAATTCAGATTTAATTGCAAGATACATCTGAGTTGAGATCTGACAGAAGTATAAGCCCCACTGATAAGGCAGCAGGGTTATTTGGCTGCCACTTGGTCATGTAAACTGCTGATTGCAAGCAGCAGTTGAGTTACCTGGGCCTTCTACCTTCATTTTTAATGCATGAATTTTTCCAGCTGCCTCTCTTGCTATTAAGAATTGGTTGCATTTTATTTTATATGCTGAAGCATTAAATCAGAACGATGACTGATTAGTCGAGGCAGTAATTATCATCCTGAAGTTCACTGCTTTTGGCTGGAGAGGCAGCCGAATGATTTGGCAGTGCTCTGGCCTTGTGCCATGAAAGCCTCTATTTCCTCCACAGTCCGTGGCACACACGTGAGCAGCTCCATGCCGGTGGCTGTCACCACGATGTCGTCCTCGATCCGCACCTGCACAGGGAGCACACGGTCACCAGGGAGAAGGAAGGGCGGGAGGAGCACCTCAGGCTGCAGCAGCAGCAGCAGTGAGGGCACAAGGGGCTGCTGCAGCCCAGGCAGAGCGTCCCCCTGCAAGCACGGAACTGTCACAGCGCAGGGCTCTGCAGCTGCAGCTCCCCTCGGGCCACTGGCCCCTGGCACGCTCCGGGGCTCACAGCAGCTTGGTGGTGACCCAGGTGTGGTGGTGGCCTCACCCTCTGCTGCAGTGGGTACACCAAGGACAGTCTGAGCAGGGTGCTGCAGCAGTGAGTTCATGCTGTGCCATGCTAGGGGGGCAGTAAATCTCAACCCCCTGACAGCAGGAGCAGTGACAAGAACATTCTTCCCTGGATTTGCCTCCAGCCTTCTCAGCACATGACTTGCTAGGGACAGTGCCTCCTGATGCCCCGTCTCTGCCCTCAAAGCTGTCCTGTTTCCGAGCTGAAATTCAGGTAGCTTCTCTTTGCACTTAAAACTTTTCTCTATACACAGTAAACTTTCAAAGTGAAACTCTGAACATAAAATACCTTGTGGATGATATTCCACACATTGAATTTTGAGCTGATGAGAAAGACTTAAGCAGGTCAGACATTTCTTTTAAAATACAATCACTAAATTTCAAACCATGGAAGGAAAAAGCAGATCCTCTCAATTTTTCAACTCTTGCTATTAAAATGAAAAGTGTGCTCCATTTCTGTTTGTCTCTAATCTCTTCTTACCAGTAAATGTGCCTACACAGTCATTCCCATTATCTTATCAGAAAAATGTTGCTAAGTTGCTAAGCTGCAATAAAAGCAATTTTAGTAAGGTGCAAATCCAAAAGAACACAAACCCTGGGTACTCCCACCTTACAATTGCTTTAATTGTTTCTGACCTCTTGACATTTTCAACTAAAAATAAAGCTGGTTAACATTTGTACTTCTGATTGCAAAATAATCCATTTGTTCAAACAAAATGAGTCATCCAGTCCTTATTAAACTGTTTAATGATGTCTTTGCCAGATTATTTCTTTTACTCGGTATCAAGTTAAGTGTATTATAAAGCAGAATTAAATAAACAAACTCCATTGAGTTTACACATTTGTTTTGGACAGCTGTAAATTTGAAAGCTGTGAGGCTCTTTATGCTCAGTGTGCCTGAAAAGCTGGTGCCTTGCTGCAGAAGAGATCAGCAATGACTCTGCACTTGAACAGAATTTATCAGGATGGGCTTTTTCATTCACTGTTTCAATTTTGACTGCTGAGCAAAACACAACCCAAGATTCAGCAGGAGGGCCCCGCTGCATCCAAAGGCAAATGCTGATGTGTGCCTGTCCTGCTGGGTCTTGGGCAGAGCCTCCCTGGGTGGACCAGTCCCTGCCAAAAACCTGATGGTACCAGGCTAACCCCCAGGAGTGCCAGCACCCAGGGACAGAGCTGGGAAGATGGCAAAAGCCACAGCTTCACACTGGCAAGCCCAGCCAGGGTAAATGCAGCTGGACACAGTGATGATGTGGAAGGTAAAAATGTCAGTGCAAAAGTAAGTCTGAGAGCAGAGGGAAGGCCACACAAAGCTAGAACTGACTGCCTACAGAGAGAGCCTTTTCCCAAGCACTGCCAGCTTCACAAACCTCCCTCTGCCTGAGCTGAAATTCCCCAGCTGCAGCAACTATCAGCCACAATTCAGCCTCTTGACCAGTAACGTCAGCAAAAAACCAAGAAAAGTGTTCTTTCCAGTTCAGTGCTTCATGACTTTAAAATATCTCTGCACTCTTTGGGAGGATGAACTGACTTAAAAGCAGTCCTACAGTGGGGAAGAACAAGTGGGGCAAGGTGTCTGTCCACACTGTTCTCTAGGCCACAAGAGAGCTGGGAAATAGGTAAGAGTGAAAGCACAGTCAGGTGAGACAGGACTGACAAATAATGGACAAAGAGAGCTGGGACTGACTAAGGAGCCCAGGTGGGGAGATCCTGGTGGAGGTGAGAAGTGAGACATCCTGAATGAGGAGAGCACACAGGGGCTGGAGCTGCCAAAGGCAGGGAACTGAGAGTGACCAAA